GCTTAGGATATCTCTCATTACTCTCCTAAGCGAGCAATACAGGAGGACAAAACCGACAAATCTCGTTTATTGATCCCAAATCATGCCTCGGGGAGTATTATTTCGTCGCTCGCTTAGGAGATCTCCTATTTGATTCCTAAAAGAGTAATAAAGGAGTACAAAACCGACAAATCTCCCTTATTGCTCAGAAATCAGGTTAAGGGGAGTACTCTTTTATTCCTCACATAGGGAGATCTCCCTTCAGGTTCTAGTGGGTATTTAAGTAGTTGACTTCAAAACTCCCAACAGGGTACATATGAATATGAATAGGTGTGAAGAAAAATAAATTTCCAACAAAAGCAATAAAGCGTATGCAAATCAATAATTTTATACAGTTTCCAAGCGTTTATAGTTGAATGAAAATCAACAGCAATGGCAACAAAACGTGCTGTGGCATATAAAATATGAAATTTGCTCGATGAGCGGTGGGTGGGTTCATATGGCTAACAGTTGTAAGTGAATATGTATGTTTGTTGCATGTGTTTACAATTCTCGTGGGCTGTTAGTGTACTAAAATTATATCTTTGTGGTAGTAAGTGCTTATTTATTTACATATGTACTTATATATGTGCATGTAGATTAAGGCGTATCACGAAAAAAAGTTTAGCGTTTGTCAGTTTTATTTGAATACTTATGTCGAGAAAAGTTTTGGGTGTAACATTTTTTTATGCACCCGCTAAAAACCGCTAAATCACGTTTTTTGCTATAACTTTCTTCCTTGCCATCCTTTTTTTTTTTTTTAATTTGTATGTCACCGAAAAGGCCCCGCTCAGGACTATAATTGAATAAAGCCTAACCCTTTTTAGCAAGGTGGTCATGGTTTTTTGAGGGCTTTAGATTTATAGTATAAAAATAAAAATCTAGGGATAGTAATTCCAACACTAGTGAAGGTATAAATTAAAACGGTTTTGAGCGCTAAAATTGTTTGATGGCCAATTATAGTCCTCAGTGAGACCTTTTTAGCGACATAAAGATTTAAAAAATCGGATATAGAATGAGAAAGTTATGGCAAAAACGCGATTTAGCGGTTTTAGCGGGCGCATAAAAAAAATGTTTACACCCAAAATTTTTTCTCGACATAAGTATTCAAATAAACCTGACAAACGCTAAACTATTTTTCTTTCATAAGTCGTGATACGGCTTAATGCACATACAAGTATTCGTATGCAGATATGTATGTATATGCATACATCAAACTCATATTTCCTGAAAATCCTTCAATGCTGTGGGTGTTGTTGCTCTTTTATGACATTTATTCACTTTATATTTATGTATTTATATCCACGTACATATGGATGTGTGCACTGGGACCCAGTAGAAATCTTAAGCATGCAACATGGCTGTTGGTGGCATG